CTTAACACAAGAGATGGCATTATTCTATATGTGGGAGGGAAAGGGAGGCGGTTTTGGAGCAACCTTGCAGAGGTAAAGTAGGACAACATGCTTCTTCATGTGCCATGTGTTCAGAAAATGGAGGGCAAATCCCATTCAGAGGCAGAGATCTTAGTATTATAATGAAATCAAGGTTGAAGGAAGTTCAGGGTTCTTCTCAAGAAGCACATGCCACCAACTGGGTCCGACTGGTCTGACTGCAGGCCAGCAACTGTTCTGCTTTGTAGACACTGAACAGATGGCTAAAACAGAAATTACTCGGGACAGGGAGTTAAGCAATGATTTGCCATTAATTGTTAAGCAATTATTTATATGCGCTTTTGTTAGTGTTTTTGTTTGCAAAGACTCTGCAAAAGGGAGAGAAGCAAGCATATCCAAGAGGCTCCTCATCTCAAATATAGCCGTTATATTAGCATCTCTCAGAGGCCTTTTATGGGGAGAACCTAAGTATTAGCCCAAGTGAATGCTCTAGTCCCACATGAAGTTAGATAATGAGAAAGCTACATATCTAAACCATACTGCTTAATTTTCAATAGAAAGCCCTTAATAGTACTTTTATAAAGTTATCCTCTGATAAAAAAAAAATTTTCGTTTTTGTAAAAATAATCTGATTGTTGGAAAGTATTGATACTAAAAAAGTACAGAAACATTTTTAAACTATATCAAATTATCATTATCATTGGTTGCTGTTTATATTATATATATATTTGCAGATATACAGGGAGAATAAAAGGAAAGGAAACTGGATCTGCATTTTATAAAAATTGGACTGTATGAAAGAAAAGAAACTAAAGAGCATTGAAAGAATTATTGATGAATTTCCTAAATGAGTCCTTGTAGTTAAGAAAAGAGATTATGAAGAATGTTAGTTTGGAGTGTTTTTTAAAAAACGATGTTTTAAATTTAGAAGTTATTAACCCCTTGATGGATTAGAACATATGTTGTCTCCTATATATTTTATGTTGAATTAGATAAGATGTGACTACTAATCCTTTTCTTAATGTGTGACTTAATTGGCTGGATTTCTTTATAAGTAGATTATAAAAAGGACTGTTGATGCTTTTTTTTTTTTTTTATAGAGGCATGTTTTATTTATTTGTTTGTTTGTTTGTTTGTTTGTTTTGTTTATACATGCACTGCACTGGGTACAGTCAGAAGCGCTGGAGGGTGAGAGAATTCACCAGAGCCAGAGCAGGGGGGAGCAGAGCAGGCAGAAGGACCGAAGTACACTGCTGAAGGGAGCAGCGGGCGGCAGGAGAGGTCTGCGCGCCATGTGGGACCCTCCTCAGGTGGCCGGGGAGCAGCCGGGGATCGAACTGGCGCCGCAGAGGTCGCCGGCAGCTTGGCAACCCAGCGCTCAACCACTGCGCCACCGGGGAGGCCCCTGATGCTTTATTTTTTTTAACTTTGACTTTTAACTACTTGGTTTTATAAGAAATTATGACTTCCCAGATAAAAATAATCTTTCAAGAAGTTTGAGAGAAAATTGTGAGAATTTAACTAAGAAAATTGTGAAAAATTAGAATGTCAAAATAATATATTTAGAAATATCAAGAAGCTTCATGTTAGAAATAAAGGAGTAACAGCAGATTGTTTATTTCTGATTTTAATTTTTCTCATGACTGATAGCAAATGTATTCAACAATCCAATGTTATTGTAAAAATTTCCAGTTTTTCAGCCAAATTCTGCTAGGTACTACTTCCCTAAAATCTAAAAAATTATGTAGCTTACTTTAGACTTTTAAACAACTGAGCAGGTAAACATCAGTTTGTAGCTTTCCCAGTATAAAAATTCAGTCCTATATAATATCCTCACTAAATTATTTGCCTAAATCAGATTGTGATTTTTATGACTAGATAACAGGCTACAAAGTTAAATGTATTTATTTCATTCTGGAGTTTTCCTCATTGGGTGCTATTTTTGGAAATTTAGTAACTTTACCAGGGTCTCTTACTGTTGCATTTTCTGTATTATATTTTCCTAACATAGTAATTTATTTTAATCTGTAGATTGTTTTTTTAATTAAATAATTTAACAATGAGGTAAAATAAAGTACCATAAATAATGTTAAAATACCCTGGGTATTGTTTCCTGTTGCAAACTCTTCCTCACATAAGAGGTTTTTCATTAATCATGTTTGTGCTTGTCATTTTACATGGGGATACTGGATGTATCAATAAACAGTAATATTTTGCAAATTATTTTATATGTTATAATCAAACTGCAACTATCCTTCTGCAATTGGGTTTTTTGTTTGCCTCAACTTTTGTAAAACAATTTATAATGCTGCGAGGAAGTCTAATTTCATTTTACTGCTAAATGGTGTGCTATGGCAGTAATCTAGATAGAGACATTCTCCTGGTTTCTCTATATTGCATCCTATCTTCCATCTTCCTTGGTCACAACTCTGTTCCCAGCTGACACTCATGCAAACAGTTTCACATGTATGTCCATTTACTTGTTAACAATACCTATCCTGTCTGAAACTTGCTGGTCCCAACCCTACTCAGCTAAAGTGTGATGGAATTAACACTGAAGAATGGCCTTTATTCAATGGTGAATGGAAGTTCCTGCTTCCTATTTCTGTGTGGACAATTCTGCTAGACATTGTATGTAATGTACTTTGTAGAAGGTACCATGGAAATTAAGCCCCCGTTACCTATAGCAATGACTTTGATGGTATAATCTTATATCAACTATTCCTCCTTCATATTCATTCTACCACTGCTGCCCTTAGGAATAACTTCCCAAATAAACTATCTGCAAACAAGTCCTTCTCATCTGACCTGCTTTTAAGGAAGCCAAGATATATAAATACTTTAATTGTCCTTGGGTTTTACTGATTGATCTATTAGCTTCTAATAAGTGAGACCAAGTCAGGAAACCTGCTAAAGAAAGCTGCTCCTTTTTGCTTTAAAAGCCTAAATGTCTTGTCTTGCTATCATTTTTTAATTTTGTAACTTTGGGCTTTATGTTTGTATCCTTATGTATTTGCTACTAGAGAACCAATTTACCTTCCTGTCTGCTTTTTTGCTGCTCTTATTTTAATATTTTGGGGAGACCAATTACCCTAACATTAGATTATCTTGTTCCCCAATTTTTATTTTCTAGTTAACTTTTATATTTTTTTTATTTATTTTTTTAAAATAGAGGCATGTTTATTTATTTATTTGTTTGTTTGTTTGTTTGTTTATACATGCACTGGGTACAGTCAGAAACGCGGGAGGGTGAGAGAATTCACCAGAGCAGGGAGCAGAGCAGGCAGAAGGACCGAAGTACACTGTTGAGGGAAGCAGCGGGCGGCAGGAGAGGTCTGCGCGCCATGTGGGACCCTCCTCCGGTGGCCGGAGCAGCCGGGGATCTAACCGGCACGGCAGAGGCCGCGGGCAGCTTCGCAACCCAGCGCTCAACCGCTGCGCCACCGGGGAAGCCCAACTTTTATATTTTTTAAAGATCTGTTACCTGATTACTTTAGCCTTTTTTTTTTAATTTTGTATTTTTATTATTAGATTTTACCTTTTTTTTTTTAAGATTTATTTTTATACAAGAGCCGGGGTACAGGCCAGATGTGCGGGAGGGTGAGAGGATTCACCAGAGGCAGAGCAGGGAACAGAACAGGCAGACTAACTGAAACACACTGCTGAGGGGAGCAGCGGGCGAGACAGGAGAGGTCTGCCATTACATGTGGGCTGTTCCATGACCGGCGGGGATTGCACCAGCACTGCAGAGGCTGCGGACAGCTTCACAGTGCTGCGTTCAACCACCTGCCCCAGCAGGGAGGCCCTATTTTAGCCTTTCTATGTCACATTTTTATTTTCAATTTACTTTCTTGTTGTTTCTAAAGCTATAAAAAGATGTTTGATCATCAATTTATTTGATATGTAGACTCCCTTTTAATCTCTTCCATTTTTTCCATCTTGTCTTTTAATTCTTGTTTATTATATTTACATTCCTAATAAGTTCCAATTCCTGTAGTACTTATAAGGAATGTTTTTTGTATCATTTGGTTATACTTTTTTTTAGACAGAGCTCTTTGATCTCCTGTATGGCACATTCCTCTGTGTGTGTGTGTGTCTCTGTCTGTGTGTGTCCTTTTCCTCCCTTCCCTCTGATCGTCCCCTTCTCCCTCTTACTCTTTTATTTGACTATTTGTCATGACTTCTTTTTAAATCTTGCTCATATTTGACAGCTTCGCCCAGACTTTGTTTCTTGCCCCAACTTTCTAGTTCTTCACACATTGTGTGGGTGACTTCTTCATTTTCCAAAACAGATTTCTTCTTGACTCACCTCAGTTATGTGTTTGCTAAAATATTAATTCTGCAGCTTTTTACTAACTTTTATCTCTCCAGTTGGTTGTGGGTACACATTACTCTTAGACTCTGACTTAGCATGTTAAATTTTTTATGACTAGCGCTGATATTTTTCCATCTCCCTGTAGAAGTTCCTCCTCTGATTGTTACTGCCCATGCAACACTGTGTCAAGGTTTGCTTCCTGTGATAGGGAAATGTATTGTGTTTCCAAAAATGTCACTCCCAAGTATGCCTTGTGAGGCCAACATTACCCTGATTCCAAAACTACACAAGGACATTGTGAAAAAGAAAACTATAGACCAATGTCTGATGCAAAAATCCTCAACAAAACCATAGCAAATCAAATTCAATAATATATTATAAAATTATACATCATGACTGTGATTTATACAGGGTTACAAGGATAATTCAACATATGCAAATCAATAAATGTAATATATCACATAAAAAGAAAGATAAAATATGATATGATCTAAATATTGATGCAGAAAAAGCACTTGACAAAATTCAACACCTATTTATGATTTTAAAAAATGAGTTTAAATGAAATATAAATTTGCTAACCTAGAATAATTCAGAGGGTACAGGGTGATTTCCTGACAAATGTATTAATAATTTGCCCCCCCCTTTTTTTTTTTTTGGTTTTTAGCTTTCTAGAGTGTTGGATCTTCCCCCAGAAAACTTGATCAAGTCAATATCTGCAGTTCCAATTTCAAAAAAAGAGTTAAGTATAATATATTTAATAACCTATAATGTGCCAAATGTCAGTATACCAAAAGAAAATTGTTACTCTAAAGATGGCTACTCTAATTTAGCTTTCATAAAGCTACAATTGCATGATAGATGAGGAAATTGTTTATTAGGTGATAAAAATTCTAAATAAATACAAGTTGATGGTGTTCCTAATTTCTTTGCATTATAAAATTCTGAAAGCGTTATACTTTCTTCTGATAAAATTGTCATTGTGGAGGAAGAACCTTTACTGATTAGTTTTTGTTTTGCTACATGAATAATTTTTTAACAGTAACAGCATCTTTTTCCTTTTTTAATGTCTCTCTTTAGAGAAGAAGCTGATTTTCAGATTTCTGTGGATTCTCTTTTGGAAAATAGCAGTAACCATTCAAGACTGAATATTCAAAATAAAGCAGTGAGACTGGCAGAGAAGGTACTTTGAGCACTATTATCTCTTTTTGATATTATAATAAATTTATCATTTCAAAGAAAAAACTACTCTGCAGTCTATCTTAGCCATCATAATGGGTTTAATAGCGTTTCTTTGTTCAAGGTGCCTTGGGAAATACAATTTAAATTCATTTTAGCCATGTACTGTAAGGTTAGGGTGATATTTCAGATTAGTTATAAAGCATTCCTCTTGAGCTGACATTGTTCAATTTTTTGATTAACTACTTATAAGAGGACTAAAATGTTAATTAAATTTACAGATTGAAGTTGAATGGACTTCTGAATTTAGGAGAACAAGCTGATAAATTAGAGCAGTGGGTTGCAATTTTTAAAATGAGTTTCTGAGAAGATGAACATTAAAATATGAGAAGAAATGATTAGATGTAAATAGAGTCATGATTGCAGAGAAGTAGTAGTTAGATGATTTAATAACCCTCTTTCATTTCCAATTTCTCTGATGGGTTTGGTACCTAAAAGAGTAATTGAAAGGATTATAGAGAATGACCAAGTCTAAGTCGTTGGTGTAATACCATCAGAAAAGACAGATATTGGTTAAGATTTTTCTTAAATATAGGGTTATTACATGTGACAAAGAGGAGGTATCTGAGTACTCTAGAGAATTACAACAATGAAAGCCATACTCGTTAAAAAAGATGTTTAAAAAGTTAGTATGTTAGGGCCTCCCCTGGTGGCGCAGTGGTTGAGCACTGGGCTGCGAAGCTGCCCGCAGCCTCTGCAGCACCGGTTCGATCCCCAGCCACCGGGCGAGGGTCCCACATGGTGCGCAGACCTCTCCTGCCACCCGCTGCTCCCCTCAGCAGTGTACTTTGCCAGTCTGCCTGCTCTGTTCTCCCCTCTGGACCTCTGGTGAATTCTCTCACCCTTCTGCACTTCTGACTGTACCCAGTGCTTGTATAAATAAATAAATAAATCTTTAAAAAATAAATACTGAGTTAGAGGTAAACTTTAAAAAAAAAAAAGTTACTATGTTAAAGGAGCTTTGGTATCTGGGTAAATATTTGATAAAAAAAATTCCCCCCATAGATTTTTATCAAGAACTATCAGTAGTTGAATTATCCTAATTACAATATTTAGTCTCTCCCCTGTCTAGGTGAGGTTTTTTTTTAAGAATTTTTTTTAAATGATTTATTTATTTATGCAGGCACTGGGGTACAAGACAGAGGCATGGGAGGGTGAGAGAATTCACCAGAAGAGACAGAGCAGGGAGCAGAACAGGCAGAAGGACCGAAATACGCTGCTGAGGGGAGCAGTGGGCGAGACAGGAGAGGTCTGCCGTGCCATGTGGGAATCTCCCTGGCCATCTGGGAATCAAACTGGCACCGCAGAGGCTGCAGACAGCCTCACAGCGCTGCCCTCAACCTGCTGTGCCACCGGGGAGGCCCTATGTGAGTTCTTAAAGACTAATGACCTTTGGTGACAAAAGATTTCTGTTCAAGTTCCATGACTACATTAAGTGCTTTGAATATCTACTTGGTTAAAAATTTAAGGCATATTCATTTAAGGCAAAGCATTTAAATTATTTATGTTTCACACATTGGTGCAAGTGTTTCAGTGTGGGTCCTGACAGAGTGTTCTATGAATCCTGAAAGGTAGGTGAGAGAAAAAGCGTTCATTACATGTCGAGCTGTGTGAAGTGGGGATAAAGTAATCTTCTCTATCTTTCTTTTTAGATGGAGAATTTATGATGAGACAGTAGGTAAGAGGAAGAGAAAGACTCTGACTACAGAGTAGTATTCTAGTCAGAAAAAAACAACCCAGTACAGAATAACAATCTAGTCAGGAAAAGAAGAGAACATGAAGTGACTATGAGAGATGACACACCTGCTGCCTTTGAAAGACAGTTTGGCTAGTGTTAGAAATAGAGATCTTATTGAACCTTTATTTATAACAGACTTATTTTGCTTCAATTGTTATCTTTTCAGCTAAAATGTGATACAGTCGTGAGTGAAATCAGCACTGGACAAGGGACTATTAATTTCAAAATAAACAGAGAACTTTTAACAAAGGTAAGAGCGGGTTATATTCGAAATAATGTATTTTCACTACTGTCTCAGCTTTAGCCACAGTGGTCTTCCTCCAGTTTATTGTGCCTCCTTTTGCCTTAAAACCTTAGAGTATTCTGATCCCTCTGCCTTCAGTGCCACCCAAGTTAATTCTTACTGACCAAATATTGATATTTCTTTGGCAGTGCCTTCCTGATCCCTTTATTTATATACTGCCATAGCACTGTATATCTGTCCTTTGCAGGCTTCTTGTACTTGCTATCATACATTCTTTTTATACGATTAGTTCCTATTGCCCTTTGAACTCTAATTCCGGTTAAAGTTTACATCATCTGTTTTTTCTCACTATTGGAGTCACAGTCCTAGTACTGTGCCTGGTATATCATAGGTGTGCAATAACTGTTAAGTGAATTAATGGATTCTGTATTGAATACAAGAAAAGTACTGCTGGTTTCTTTTCCCTGGTAGCCTTTGATCAGGTGGTAGCATTCGATTTATGCAGAAGAAAGCATAAGATAGTGTCTTTGTTTAATAAAATAGCAAATATTAAAGCAAAAGAGGGGATTGATATAATAAGAATAGGAAAGACCACAGATAGAGAAAAATCAGGTTGACATGAAGGGGTTTGGAAATCTCATTAAAAAAACTGGATCCACTCAAGTGAGACCATGGACAGATAATCCTGGATAGGCAGTAATAGTGAGAGCTTTTGTTGCAAGATTAGTCTCAAATGAACTTTAAAATCTATCATAATACTTGCTTTTGTCTGTTATTAAAAAAAGAAAAAAGAATAGAAATACACACCAGTATTGGGTTGGTGGGGCTTAGTAAATGCTGCAGTCTTCAATTGAAAATAGCGATTAAAGCAAATTCCTAATACTATAGTTTCTTACCAAAATTACATAGTTTATAGGCATTGCCTATCAGCCTGTGATTCTTCTGAAGGAGAGCTAATGTTTCATACTTGTCTCAAGATCTCTAAATTTTTTTATTTTATCCTTTTTTAATTCCTATTCCAAGGTGAATTAGTTAACCAAAGCCAGTCACAAGGGCAAGGAAGAAATTTGTTTCAAGCATATTAAAAAGTATCTACAAACTTCTGGGCTCTTGGTGAACATTTTGTGTCAACTTAGCAAACCTGTGAGTCCACTTTACCTTTTTTAAATCAGCGATTCATTCTTTCAATTGCTGTCTCAATTTTAATGAAGTAGAAAAGCAGCTTGCTAAATGTTCTGCAAATTTCAGGCAACTAAGAGGCGGCAGTATTTTCCTTTTTTGTTTTCTCTGAAATAGGAAAATGTGCTATGAACAGATAAGAGTTTTTGCCCTTACACTTAGCTGAAAGATATGGTTCATATTTCAGGCATGATGTATGTTTATTTAATAAATTTAAAATTTCAATAACCATGCATTTTCATACTTTATTATAGTTTATTTTTTTATATTAAGTCTCTATTTTTTATTATAGTTTATAAACAATGAGGTTTTCCATAGTTTAAGGATACCCATTAACTTGATCATTAAAAGTATTTCTAAATCCTTTTCAATTGACAACAGAGGGACAAAAGAGTTAGGATTTGAACTACAACTATTTCTCACATGGAAATTCTTCTTTTATTATAGCTTTGATAATCTGAATTTAGTGTGATTTTTATTAAAGGAACAAGGAGATTGATTATAGTAGCTCTATTCAGTAACAGTAGCAAAGATACATTATAAGAGTAGTGAGCTCCCTATCCTAAAAAGGAAGTGTTACATGTGCCTATCTTTTAAGTTATAGTTTTTTTTTAAAGATTTATTTGTGCATACAAGAACTAGGGTACAGGCCAGAGATGTGGGGTGGGGGGTGAAATGATTCACCAGAGACAGAGTTGGGACCAGAACAGGCAGACTGACTGAAATACACTGCTGAGGGGAGCAGCAGGCATAACAGGAGAGGTCTGCTGCGTCATGTGGGTTGCTCCCTGGCCGGCCAGGGATCAAACTCGTGCTACAGAGGCTGCGAATTGCCTCATAGTGCGGTGCTTAACCCCTTGCGCCACCAGGGAAGCCCTAAGTTATAGTTTTTAAATGTTTTCTGAAAACCTAGTTTATTTATATCTTGCACCATTATTTTCAGGCCTTAAATGTTGGTCATCTGCATGTCTAATGAATTTTTCTGATCACATCAACATAAAAATTCAACCATCTTAGGGCTCATATAGGACTTTTATTTTTTCACTCTGAAGTTAAAGATTAATATGTAGCTTATAATTTATAAAACTTGCTCTTCAAGCAGAGAATTGTGAATTTGTCATTTCTTACACATGTAGAAACTTAGGCTTGCATGAAATGTGTGTGTTCATGCATTGCAATTGAATTATTAGCTCTGGCAGCACCGAAGATGATTAAATGTTAATTTGAATCAAATCTCTAATAGTGTCTTAAAATCTCTTCATATAAATTAGTTCTCAAAGATAGAAGGGTCAAATGTGAGATTAAAGTTGATAAGAACTCCCAAGTCTGGGACTAAATAAAATTTTCCAAACTAGAAGATGATATGACCAACTTGTGCATCATGAAGAACTATTATTTTGGTACCAAACTTCCACCAGATGACTTTCAAGAGAAAATAACATAAAATAATAGTTAATTCAGTTCTGGGATAGGAAATAAAAGAAAACATGAGTGTAACCATGTCAAAAAGGCAAATAAAATCCTATGTTTTAGATGTTAGGTGTACTTTAGAGGTACTTAGTGGTTTTCTTTTTGTGCTGCCCTTGTTTGTTTTTAGGATCAAGGTAATGTTATACTCATAAAATGTGTTTGGGGACTTTCCAGCCTCTTTATTTATTTATTTACTTACTTACTTACTTACTTAGAAGAATTGGAGTTTAGGATAGGTATTAGGTCTTCTTTGAAGCCTTGGTAGAATTCACTAGAGAAACCATCTAGTCATGGGCTTTGATAGAAAATCTATAAGACTACCCAAAAAACTACTAGAAATAATAAATGGCAGGATAAATAAGTGGTAGGATACAAAATCAATAGACACAAATCAGTTGCATTTCTATATGCAAACAATGAATCAGAAGAAAGAAAAATGAAAAATCAGTTTCATTTATAGTCACACCAAAAAGAATGAAATGTCTGAGTGTAAGCCTAACAAAGAAAGCAAAAGACCTAGATATTGAAAACTACAATACACTGTTAAAGAAATGAAAGAAGTCAAAAAGAAATGGGAAAGATATCCCTTATTCTTGAATTGGAAGACTAAACATTAAAATGGCCATGTTACCTAAAGTACTTTGCAGGTTCAGTACCTGCTAAATCCCAATGAATTTTTTCAAGGAAACAGAACAAATTTTAAAACTTGTGTGGAGCCACAAAATTCCCCAAACCTTCCTAGGAGAAAGAAAGAAAAATATCACACTCCATAACTTCAAGCTATATTACACAACAACATTAACCAAAACAGTATGGTATTGGAACAAAAACAGAAACACCGACCAATGGAATAGACTAGAAATCCCAGAAATAAACTCACAAAAATATGGCCAATTAATCTTTCACACAGGAGCCACAACTATACAATGAAAAAAGGAAAGCCTCTTTAACAACTGGTGTTAAGAAATATGGACAGCCACATGCAAAAAAAAAAAAAGAAATTAGGCCCTTTCCTAATCACATACACAAAAATGTACCTTCTAACAAATTTGTACAGAATTTTAAAAAAGTAAGGTTGATATGCATGTAAAACAAAAGTCAAACCAGTAAATGAAAAATCTTTTAAATGGTAGGGTATCATTGAAGAGTTAAAATAAAATGTAGACTTGATTAAATATATATTATATGAGAAGATAAGTGTCATTATTTTGTTGTACTTGTTTTTGTAGTTAGCTGACAGATAATGAGGGTATAAGCCAGGACAGAGGAGTATCACATTCATGAGATTGCATGTGCAGGGCATGGTGATTAGTAAGTGATTGGTTACGGAGGTTGAGGGAAAGGGGAAAATTTTAGAAACTCTTAAGCTTCTGACCTGGTTAGCTAGGTGATTAGGGCCGAAATTCATGGAAATAGAGAATGTAGAAGGAAGAGAAGTATATTCCATTTGAAGTGCCTCTGGGAGACGTTCAATCCTGACTTGGATGTATTAGTCTATAACACAGATGAGATTCTATTAGGTAAATAATAGTTGAAGTCTTAGCACTTGACACCTAGGTGAAGTGTAAAGTAAGGAGCTAGAAGCAAGAACGGAGCACAGGGTGTGGGGAATGGGAGGCAGGCACTGCAAGAGGAGCCTGCAAAGGAAACTAAGACACAACAATCAGTAGAGTGTTGTTGTTATAACCAAGGAAGAAGGATAGTTGGAAGAAGAAGAGGGGTGTGGAATTGGTAGACCTCAACTGTAGAATAATCTGTTTGAATTCTCAACATTTACCTTCCCACTTGCAATATTATCACCCATAGCCTTGAAATAATTAACGTGTATTGGTCCTCTAGTACATGACAGACACTACTTAATGTCTGCATATTGATTTTTTTCTCTGTCCTACTGCAGTGTGAATGAAGAAAGTATTGTTTTCTCTGTGTCCTTGGGCAAACTCTGTGAATGTTAGTTTTTTGCATCTATTAAATGGAAAATGCCCAACAGTAAGATTGTGACCAAAAAAACAGAAACACCCTAACTTGAATCTTACAGTCTATAGGTGCTTCTTAAATGTTGGAGTATATTCTTTGTGGCCTTCTCTTACCTTCTATGCCTTTTCCATTTAGTGAGCATCTTTTTTTTTTTTTTTTTTTTTAATAGAGGCATGTTTTTATTTATTTGTTTGTTTGTTTATACATGCACTGGGTACAGTCAGAAGCGTGGGAGGGTGAGAGAATTCACCAGAGCCAGAGCGGGGAGCAGAGCAGGCAGAAGGAAGTACACTGCTGAGGGGAGCAGTGGGCGGCAGGAGAGGTCTGCGCGCCATGTGGGACCCTCCTCTGGTGGCCGGGGAGCAGCCGGGGATCGAACC